GAAACCTACATCACATCAGACCGCATCTAACGATCTCTAAATTTGAACACACACTTTGAGTGAGTAGAAATACTTTGATTGAATATATAAAAAATATATTATACAAATACATGTAGGATGTAGAAAAAAGTGAATTTCTACAATGCAATATATGTGTGGTGATTAGTGACCGTTAATCGATATTTATTTAGAGATCGTGAGATGCGGTCTGGTGTGATGTAGGTTTCAGAAAAACATTTTCTTTATCGTGCCAACGTTTCGATCTTTATTGAGATCATCTTCAGGGCTCAAAGTGTTTGTCTTCTGTGTAATTGTGCCATTCTTGCGTGTAGTGTTGAAGTGGGCATTCTCGACAAAATGTTTTTCTGAAACCTACATCACACCACACCGCATCTCACGATTTCTAAATAAATATCGATTAACGGTCACTTATCACCACACATATATTGCATTGTAGAAATTCACTTTTTTCTACATCCTACATGTATTTGTTAAATGTAAACAATGTTTGTAAATCCCAGGCCCTGAAGATGATCTCAATAAAGATCGAAACGTTGGCACGATAAAGAAAATGTTTTTCTAAAACCTACATCACACCAGACCGCATCTCACGATTTCTAAATAATTATCGATTAACGGTCACTAATCACCACACATATTGAAAATACTTAAATTTGTCAGCGATTTTTAGAATTAACTACTTAATAAGTAACATTTGAATTTTCTTGATCATATTCATGCTGATCAAAAGTCTTGATGTGCAAGAAACGAATAAGTAACTAGTTTAGTTTGTGCGGGGGATAATAAACAGTCCCTTGTGAACCATTAGTTACTTTGCAATCCTAAAGCGCTGAATACTTAAGCACTATTTCCCAATTAAGGAAGTTTGTCTGCGTTTAGAGCCAAAGTCAACCGTTTATTCACATTTTCAGACTATTGCGTATCGTTTTTCTTTACATAAATTTCAACATTTAAAAGAAAATTAATTAATGATATGGGTCGCTTTAATTAATTGGGGAAAAAAGTAAGGTCAAGGGGCACATCTGCAAACTTTGTTCGACTTGTCATTAATGCTAACGATATTTAACGCTAATTTAGGATTTAAACAAACATTTTTATTCCCTTAATCAAAGAGTAATTACATTTATTTCTCTCTCCCATTTTAATTAGGCTAAGCTAAGCCGGCATTTTTATACGAGCCATTAAAAGAAAAATGAAATCATAATTTAGGGTCAACCAGATAAATTCATAGACAGTAAGCTAAAAAAAAATCTTGACTAACTATAAAGAAAACTGAAGTTGAATTATTAAAAAGAAGAAGATTAGGGTTTGAATATTGACAATATATTCTTCTATGGCAAACTTTTTATGGATGTGTGTAAATGCGTTATCCCTTGATTTGATCAAACCGGCTGGGATTTTTTCAAAAATAAAATTTCATATTTTCAAAATGATGGAATTTGATTTAAACTTAAACAAAAACGAGGTTAGGATATAAAATCTGTCAAAACTGACAAAATTGATAAGCTAGAGTAAAAAAGGTAAAGAAATTAATAGTTCAGATATAGTACATGTAGGTCAATCAGTCAACTTTTTCTGCGTGAAATGAAAACGAAATTAACTCCAGGATCTAATTTGCTTGGAAAAATATTGGTCATTCAAGTCTAAAGTGATTCTCAAGAAGTAAGGCCGTGTACTTGACACCTCCGTGATACCCGCTCTGATCTATGATTGTCCTGCCTAAAAAAACTTCATACGGACTTCAATTTCCCCTTTATAATACATTGTGTAGAAAGGTGAAAAAGAAAAAAAAATTGAATGGTACTGTTTTAGACAGGAAACTGGCCTGAAAGAAGTCAAAACAGTTAGGATAATTAAATAGAAAGTAGTCACATCTATAGATAAAAGATAGGCAAAAAATATAATCATTTTAAAGTCAAAATGATACTGGCAATTGGAAAATTGATAAAAATAAAAGATCGTAGAATAACATAAAACTCCAAAAACGGTTAGAAAAGGATTGTCAAATCACTTACCATTAGACTGCAGTATTGAACACTAGAAATAAACTAATCTTTTTATGCAAGGATCGATAGCTCAAGTGGTAAAGTAGCGATGTATTTAGAAGGTCATGGGTTCGAATCCCGCTCGTGACACGATTTTTTATCTCAACCAAGGCCTTACATGAAAAGAATAATTAATTCAAAAAAATAACTTGGTCAATTTATCAATAAAACGTAAAATGGATTAATTTTTATGTAAGGTTTTGGTTGAAATGAAAAAGTTAGTGTCACGAGCGGGATTCGAACCCACGACTTTCGGGCTCAACACGCCGCTGCTCTATCCACTTGAGCTGTCGTAACTTCGATCCACTCGGACACAAACTCGAATCCTGATTACACGACATTTCAAAAATGGCAAAAAAGAGGGAAAATTCGAAAGGTTTTAGGTTGAGATGGGTAGCTGATGTCCGAGTGGATCGAAGTCACGATAGCTCAAGTGGATAGAGCAGCGGCGTGTTGAGCCGAAAGTCACGGGTGCGAATCACGCTCGTGACACAAGCTTTTTCAATTCAACCAAAAGCTCACATGAAAAGATTATTTAAAAGAAAGAAGTGATTTGGTCAATAGACCACTAAATATAATGGACTAGAAATAAACAATAAATAAATAAAATACAAACAAATAAAATACATTCCAATACCAAAACTGGACACTTGTATATATTAGAAATTATGAAGGTGGAGTAAATATGTAAATATGTTTCTGACGTTTTGTAAATTATAGTTCAACTCATCGATTTGTTGTCTAGTTCCATCCCATCATTTACACAAAGCTTGTATATATTTCTTTATATTAAATAAAGTTATAATAATTTCCATAAAAAGTATAAAGACTAACGTACAACATTAATAACTTGTTATTTACCTTTATAGAGTGTTAGTAATCTTTAGATTAAAAATAAAGAAAATTACTTCAATTTCATCTTTCCCAAAGCCAACTTGTGAAATGTGTTAATTATTTTGTTTTTAATTGTGTTCTTTCATGATGGAAGGAAATGGCTCACCAGTGCTTCCTCTTTCGTGTACAACCTGTTAATCCAACTTCTTCACTTAGTACTCTGAACTGGAAAGAAAGCTGATGAATCCTGGGAGGATATTTTTACCCAGGAATTTTTAAAATTTATTTAAATATACAAATATAAATTAATATCATACATATATCATCCAATCCCTCCAATTCAACTCCTCACATCACACCCGTAAAACCCGCTCATCCCCAATCGACCTTATCCTTCCGCAACATACAACCCATACCTTCGAAAGATCCTTTCTGATCCGAGCCCCTAAACTCTGGAACTCCCTTCCCCTATCTATTCGTCACGCTGCCTCCTTCTCCTCATTTAAATCCCATCTTTATAATCACCTCCTCTCCCTCCAAGCAGAGACCTCACGATAACATTTATTATTTTTGTCTTTGTTTAATATACCTCGTAATTTTCTCTTCTGGCCCGCCTTACTGGCATACATTGTGCCACGATTTCTATCTATCTTTTTTTTCCTTTTTTTTTTTTAAATTATGTGACTTCATAGAAGGTTATTACATTTTGTCTCATGTAAATTATTCTAAGGGGACACCAGTCCCAGAATAAAGTTATTTTTCTTCTTCTTCTTCTTCTTAACAATTTTTTTTCATTCTTATCAAGTTTAACCTTGGCAAACGAACAGTATAAAAGTATCATTTTAAAAGTAAGCATGCAAAACAGAAGCTAGTTGATAATTTTTTTTTAATCTATATTAAAATGAACGTGAAAAACATATATTCTGTGAAAGGGTGAAAAGTTCAACTTGAAATATTATGAGTTTGAGGGGGGAATATAAAGCTATACGCGGGCCATCCATCTTCCGTTGACATCGAGTCTTTGCAGACATCAGGGGAAAATATAACTGAAAGCGCCATCCAACGCTCACGCATGACGGGATCGAACATTAAAAATTTTCCTACCAGGTCAATCCAGGCTGGTAATCTGTGAACGTAAAAATATTAAAAGTACCCCAGTTTTGGTAAAGATGTGCCATGAAGATCCTGAAAATACTGAAAAAAGGCCAGTCGAGCCTTGTATTAGTCGGGGTGAAATATACTGTGCCCTTTATGTGCTATTGTATCGCCTTTCTGTACCTACAGACCTTCACACCGGTGAGTCCTATTTCATCAACGAATTTGATTAGTAGCCCGGTTGAGTTTGAATTTCTTCTACAGTCATATTGTTGTCCTCCTACGGGCAAATGTAGCACCACATTTTGTCAATAGGTGTGTTGGTATCTCCTCTGCTTCTTTGCAGAATCTGCATGTGCCGTCTTGGGTTATACTTATTTACTATCTTCTTTAAATTTCTCTTTAGTTTGCAGTTTTTCCTGCTTCCTTTTTGACATTCTCTTACTTTTTCCTTCCAAAATTTGTTAGGAGTTTCTTGGATTGTTCCATTGTTCCCTCATTTTCTTTTTATCCTTCTGTCTGTGATTCTCATTGATAGTGTAAGTTCTTTAGCCACAGAAGGTTTTGGGTCCTATCAGCGGTATAGCAGATCCTTTTCTTGCAAGGGTGACCGCTTTTTTATTGCCTAATTCCATGCCTAGGACCCAGCATAGGCTGACTTTGTTCTGCGTACCTAATATTTTTAATTTGGTTTTGGAGTTCAACACCATCTTCGAACTAATGATGTTTTAGCTTAGTGTTTTGGAGGCTGTTTGGCTATAGCTATGTTCTTGTTTTTTACCATATAGTCAAGTTGAATTGACTCAACTTTCAGAACTCAGCTTGGAAGATACTGGTGTGTTTTCCCATGGGTTCTGAGTATTTGGTTTCAGGGCCGAATACTCCTACCCCTGTACTTCTTGTGTTCAAGATTCAGAGTAGAACTTAAAAAATACGAAACTGATTTATAAGAGTATGACTTATAACAGGAAAATCCATTTTAACAGTTTTCATCTTCTGTTTCAGAGGGTCTACGGCATGTGAGAGTACACGTTCCTGTTGCTGTGAAGGTAGGCGATTCTGCGATACTTCGATGCCTTTTTGAGCTAGGCGAAGACACGCTCTACTCGGTCAAATGGTACAAAGGAGGGCGAGAGATCTTCCGGTACCTTCCGAGGGACACTCCATCCATTAAGATTTTTCCAATAATCGGCCTAGAGGATCTGCATATAGAGGTAAGTAATTTCGACTGTTTTTTTTTGTCTAAAATTACGCGTTATACCTAATATTCCTTAACGCCAAAACGCATAGATCGAGTTGGCTTTTAAAATTAAAAAGCCAATAAATAAATAAAAAGATTGTTTTCCAAACACAGACGCAGGGCGGAAATCTCCAGAAAGTTTCTAATTGTTGTTAACAAAGAGTTGTCTGAATTAATAAAGAGCACACTTACTTAAGGGTACAGCAAATTTTCTTGAACGTTCTAGAAAGAACAAGCGGGAAAACTTTCGAAGCTTTTGCAGAGTTTCCAGCTGTAGAGAAACACTCTTTCGGAGTACTAATATCGATAACGCAGTCTAAAACAAGACATGTAATAGTAATACGTATACATGAAACAGCTTTAATATTTTTTTTTGCCTTATGATCTTTGCATATAAGCCATGACGAATTCTTATATATGTTGTTCAAATTGGGGGTTAACGGGAAAAAAGGGCCAGAGGCGATGGAATCGAACCCACGACCGCGGCGTGAGAGTCTCTCATGCTAACCACTCGGCTACCGCGGTCCCCCAAATTTTCATTTTAGAATGGTAATTATTTATATATTATCAATAGATATAACCAACGAAAAGTTTTTTCAAATGACGTAATTTATTAAAAATTCATTATATTTCGTGGTCCGATTGACCAAATAACTTCTTTAAATTAATTAATCTTTTGCTGTAAGGTATTGGTTGAAATAACGAAGCTAGTGTCACGAGAGGGATTCGAACTCACGTCCTTCGGCTCAATACGCCGCTGCTCTAGCCATTTGAGCTATCGGGACTTTGATCCACTCGGACAAACTCGGAAAAACCTTTTCCATCATTTCAATCAAAACCTTACATAAAAAGAATAATTAATTGAAAGAAATAATTTGGTCAATAGACCACTAAATCTAATCGATTTAATAAGTAAAACGAACTATAAATCGTATTAGTATATAACTAAGCTCTCTTAGCCACTTCATATGTCGCTGAGAATTAAGAAGTTCCTGATTACACGACATTTGAAAAATGGCAAAAAGGAGGGAAAATTCGAAAGGTTGTAGGTTGAGATAGGAAGTTATTGTCTGAGTGGATAGAAGTCACGATAGCTCAAGTGGTTATAGCAGCGGCGTATTGAGCGGATGGTCGTGGGTTCGATTCCCGCTCGTGACACTAACTTTTTCATTTCAACCAAAACCTTATATAAAAAGATTAATTATCTCCTAAGTTGAAGCATAATATGAAGTGAATTCTGCAAAACACGCTTTGAACTGTATTACATAGGGTCTCCTTTTTCATTTTTTCTAACCACTTGAACTGTCGTGCCAATCCATATAATTTTAGAAGAAAACATACTTAAGCAGAGTATGGGTACTAACATTATTTAATAACAAACATATGATTTAATATCATTCATCAAATGAATGTTAGTATGCATGGATAATTATCATCTTCCTACATGTTCCAATTATTCAAGAATGTTAATGACACTATATTGTTTCTACATTGATGATGATGATAAGAACATACTTCGAAGCGGTAGTTTTGTTTACCGCAAGCACTACTGCTTTTTGGCTTATCGTACTTTTCCAAATTCTTAGTTCACTTATATCGACTCGATTCTTTTACAAAGAAGTCAATGATGGTCTTTACTGCAATTTATTTTCACAGGTCGTCCACCCCAGTGAGATTTATGGTTGGCAATTTACTTCTCATGAAACCTTCTAGTGTTTCAAATGCCAAGGACCGCTATATATCACTATCACACACCCTAGTTTACTCTATCTAACTGGAACTATGTACTTACTAGTTTTGTTGAGGGTTCTTTTACAAGTGTTTACTTAGTCATGAGTTCTTCTTGTTCTCTTTTTGTTTTAGGTGAAACCATTCCGTTTGTTTTATCTTGTTATCCCAAGTAGCGGTACTGGGTCTTGCAGACCTCCTTTGGCCAGTTGGCCTACTTATTCGATACCCAGAATTCCTTGACCCCTGGCATATAAGGTGATGTCAGATTTTTATGTTTTACCAGGTTTTAAAGATTTTGGATGCATCACCGACTATTTTCGGTGTAATCTTATTACATGCTTTTAGGATGACGGGGCTGATTGATCGTTTGAAAAATTGTTTATCAGTGTAACTCCTTTAAAGATTTTCTATGGAGGAAGTATTGATCGCTGGTAGTTTTTTTCAGTTTCAACAAATTCCATTGAACGGCCTTGTTTATTTGTAAATTTTTATAACTTTTCAAAAATAACTTCTGATTTATTTTTTGTGGAGTAACAAAAAAGAGTGTTAAGTACGAAAAATATGCCTAACAAATATTTTACAATAAGTTTATTTATTTGTTACTTTATATGTGCTTGATATTCTGCTCTTAATAACTGCGTGTTTCTTATCTTGTAATCACTCTTTTAATTTCGGCTATAAAAACAAAATGTTAAATCGATAATAAAAAACCAAAAGAAAAGACAATTGTTAAAATAGTGCATGTATGCGACTAGAAATCAATTAGTTTGCAAATTACTGAAAATTAAATAGTTAAAGAGCAATTCCAACATGTTGAGATTTCAAAACTGATCACGCTTCATCATAAATCCAAAGAATTTATTGTCGAAAGGACGTGGCCTTTGATAGGAGCTTATCTCTTCGTGTATTTGAGCGTGCCCGACATATAATATAAAACGTGAGGATTCACTTAGCGAACCTATCGTAAAATTTCATGGAATCTCATGGGGTGAGGGGTACGCAATTGTTACTGGGCGTCACGTAAAAAGATAATCGGAAAACCCTCTTTCTTTTTAATGGGATTAACATTTTCTTCCGCCCTACTGTACACAGAATAATACTGGAAGTACTTTTGTCACCGATTTTTTGAAATGTTCCGCTGTTTCCCATTTTCACAAACAACCATATATGTTGTGGGATTTCCTCCTCTGGCCTGCGAGGTGATAAAACTATTGTTTTATTAGTTACCACCATCTTGTTCAGTCTATCTTCTCTGATTTTTCTTCTTCCTCTTCGGTGTTGGGTGATTTTTGCGGAATGACGATTTAGTTATGAGGCCGTGAAAGGGGAGTTGTTGGTGTTAGTATTGATTGTCAGTGTGTTTAATGGATTAAGTCGGCATTTGTTTGATTGTTCTAGTTGGTCTTTTCGATCTTTGGTTCTTTTCCTTGTTAAGTTGTGTAATGTACGAATGACAACATACAAACGTGACAAAGCACAGCTTAAAACAAGCTGCACTAATAAGAAAAAGTGGCCACCCTTAATATTTTTAATCAACTCTTAGCCAATTCTCCATTGATTATCCTGCAGCAATACTTGGTCCGTTTTAAAGAATTATAGGTAAATAAAACAAACATAAAATTTAGCATTTTGGTTTACGATTGGATTTTGTAAATAAATCTTTGAATAGTCAATACTTTTTTGTTGGTTTTTCTGTGAAACGCATTCCTGTGGTTTGATTTCTTTAAGTTCTGCCATTATTAAGACAAATACATTTAGGATAGAAACGTACAAACTAACTGACTCAACAAATTATGCATAAAAACTAACTCTGCCTCCCTATATTACTACCGTTCTCCTTCACATCTATAACTACTCACTCCAAAACTCTGTTTTCCCTACAGCCTGGCAAAAATCCCTTGTCCACCCTGTCAACAAAACCCCCAACCCATCCACCTACGGACTACCGTCCTATTTCTATCCTCTCAAACCTGTCCAAGCCCCTAGAAAGATTAGTCCAAGCACAAGTCTCCAGGCACCTTGAACAGTCCCATCTTCTCAATCCCCTCCGATCTGGCTTCCGCCAAGGCTATTCCATTCAATCGGCACAAATTAAAATTACAAGTGACCTCCACTAAGCAATCGACCAACGGAAAGCTACTATTCTTGTCCTCTTTGATTTTTCCAAAGCCTTCGATTTGTATCTCACTCTTCCCTCCTCTCTAAACTCGAATCTTCTTCCTTCTCCATCAGCACCATCCGTTGGTTCCACTCCTACCTTACCAATCGCCAGCAAGCTGTCTCCCAAATTAATAGAAATGATGAGGTGTTCAATCCTTTTTTAAAAAAGATAGTTCCTACTGACAGTAAGTGTAGTTTCAGTAGTAGTTAGTTAGTAGTTCCTACTCTTACTGTGAGTAGGAACTATCTTTAAAAAAAAATGTTTAAATAAAAATAAAAAAATTGCCCCTCTTCCTAATGGCCTTACCTCCTCCTTCCTCCTAATAAAATCTGGAGTACCCCAAGGCTCTTGCATCTCTTCTATCCATTTTTCCATTTATATCAACGACCTGCCCGACTCCATCCAGTCCCGTAACTACCATCTATACGCCGATGACTCCTAAATATGCCTCTTAACCCTTCCGATCTTCACTCGGCCATTCTCAAGAACCAAAAAGACCTAAACTCCATCAACGAATGGGCACATAAAAATTCCCTAGTCCTCAATCCGTCCAAATCCACAGCCAGGCAACTCCTTAATTCCCTCCCCAGCATGCCACCTCTCTTGCTAAATAATCACCTCGGTTAAAAACCTAGGACCAGGGGGGTAATGTAAGCAGGATGACGAGTGTGGATGGACTGGGAATGAAAGCAACCTAGGAAACAATGTGCACGGAAGGTGGAATAAGGCCAGGAAAGTTGGGAATACAACAGTCTATGACCAAAACCTTTCCTGGCATCCTCGCATTTCCCAAATTTCCCGCCATTGTATTGCCTCCCTCAGCCTGTTTCGTCGGTCCTGGCTTCTCTTTCCTTTCTCCACCCGCAAACTCCTTGTATCTTCCCTTATACTTCCCTTTATTACAGCTGTGTAGCATACGGTGGTCCCTCGGAGGAGGGTGGGTACCCGTGAGGCCTTATGAATTGTTGCGTAAGATTCGTATTCGGCACCCCACGGGGGTCCCGGTGTCGGGGTTGTATTCCCAACTTTCCTGGCCCTTCTCCTCCTTCCGTGAACAGTATTTTCTATGTCGCTTTCTTTTC